TCTTGCCCAATGTGACTGGTCGGACAAGAGTACCATGCTGTTCCTGCTGTTTCCGATTCAGCGTCTTGCGACAGATACTGATACTCGGTTTGTTACACGAGCCCAACGTGGGATGAATTTTTTGTTCAACGGGATTAGCTGGTAAGACAAGTTTTCTTTTTTAGGATTCGATCTCGGCATCTCCAATACTCCTAGCCGACTTCTTTACTGTCGTGCCACGGCGTCCTTAAATTTTTGATTTAAACTAATAAAAATTATTAAATAGTAGACAGTAAAGCATCAGTTCAAGAAGTATCAGTGACTGGGTTGTCGCTCTGGCGATGTAGCATGACATCACTGACGTATGGCAAGCGATCTTTGGGCAGCTGAGGAGTTGGGCTGTCCGCTGAACAGACCGTGCGGTTGGTTGTTGCAAATTATTCACTGTTTTGTCGAACGTTAGAAAGATGCGGTAGTATTCAAAAAGTATAATGGCTAGTTGGTGCTCAACAGCATCATAAAAAAAAATCGGAGGTCGTAAATTGATTGCTTTTGGAGGACGCAAAGCATTTCGCTTGCCAGCTGCGCCGGATTAATCGACTTCTTCATGACGTAGCGTCCTCCCTCCTTTTCCCCTCTTCCTCTGCTCTTTTCGGTATATTTCGATCGGAAAGCCTGAGGTTGGTCGAACTGTTGGTTCGCCACATAACGAAATGCTTTCGCTTTCATTTCTTGCGTTCATCTCGTCCATGGGTTGTCCAATGGATTAAGCGAATGGGCGTGAGACGTAGCAAACGCGCAACGGTTATCCAGAGCTTTCGTCCAGCCGAATTGTCGTTGCTATTGATCGTCGTGCGTGTTTCGTTTGTCAACACTGCTATGCGTTTCGTGCTTCGTGGCAACTATTTCCATTCATGGTGACGCTATTGATTTTGTGATGAGTGTCGTCAGTTGCCGTTCAACAAACGTCATTTCTTGCATAGATTTCATGTCAATCTGCTGTTGGTCGTTTTCGTGAGCTGACGTCGAATGGACAGCATCATGTGTTGTCCATCTGGACGCCGAAGGTCATCTGAATTCCACAGCGACGCTTCTTAGACTGTTGAATTACCGAACGGTCCCTGAACACTCGACCGGGTCGCGAGGAAGGAACGGTCAGACAAAGTGATGCGTGCTGGCGATGCTTCGTTGCTTTATATGATGCTTTCTGCTTGTACACGATTGTCTCTGTTTTTTGAGGGTCCGGCGGTGAAAAGAATCACGTGGATGCTCCTTCTGCTATGATCGTACTTCTGCTTGCAAATCTTAGATAAGAACACTCGTCCACTAAATGCTAGTTTTCATAGAGCCTGTCACTAATTTCATAAATTAGATGTGCGTAAAATAAAGATGAAAAATTTATGAAGA